CTAAAATCTTAACCTCTTTTAAATATAGGATCAACTGTTATATTTCCTACATATACTCATGAAGAAGGCCGGAGCGTACAACGGCCAAAACGTTGTGATAAACATGGCGACAAAGATGAGAACAATAGTCCTAATAATGTAAATAGTGAATGAAGGTATGTCAACTAGATGGTATGGCTGGTCCTAGCAGCAAAAGTTTGAACTGGATGAACCAAGGAATGTTGTTTGCCTGAACATCTGCCATGAAAATGGCTGTAGAGTAGATGCTAGTAATGCTTTATCTGTGGGAAAGGTCTTGAAGATATTTCTGAACGCTTATGGTGCCATTCATGATATCCATATGAAAGCTTCGATCTGACAAGACTATTTAAGAACATGAGTTTTCAGGCTTTGGTTTTGTAGTAATTTGTTGTGATGGGCGAAACTCCCCATAGGTAAAGAGACTCGTGGCAGCAGAAATGTTGTTCTCCAGAAGGATATTGAGAATACCACAGACTGAATATGTGAGCAACGACGAAGTTCTGGGGGGAAAAAAAAGGGAACAAAAGGAACACCTAGAAAGAGGCCGCTAAAATTTCTGGGACAGATAATGAGGAAAGAAGGCTTGGAAAATTTAACACTGATAACATTTTGAAGGCAAGAGGAACAGAGTAAAACAGCATATAAGCTACCTAACGAGATTGTGTAAATATTTAGCAGAACAGGAATTAGGAGAGATAGCAAAAAGATAAACTTTAATTAGGGCTACAAAAGACAGGAAGTTATGGAGAACCATGATCACCTATGTCCTAAAGAGATACAGAAGAAGAAACCAGTTTCTCCCGCCCATTGATGGAGATGGTTAATAAAAATGGTCGCCTTGAATTTGATTATTTTTCTTTCTTTTTACAATTCGACATGATTAAAATTATTACATTAAAACGTAATGTTGAATGCGAAAACGAGATTTGAATTGCTTATCGCCTGGAAATTTGCCTTAAATTAAATAAATGCTGACAGCAGAGAGCGATGTGCCCAACTTTTTCCCTAACACAAGGTTATCGTAATATATAAACATCCATTTCTATCAACAGTTTGAGATTTATCTAAGAATAGTGGCGTTTCTCCCCCAGACCACGTTCTGTCATCCACTTGTCCGCCAGGTATACCATGCGTTGCTTTCCCTTGTTACTCTTTCCCTCTATTTGACCTGTGAGTATCAGATTCGCCACGCTCTCCTTTCTCATTACGTGTCCCAGAAACTTCAGTTGCCTCTTCCTGATGTTAAATATAAGACTCCTCCTTGATTGCAACATCTGTAAGACCTCATCGTTGCTCACACGTTCGGTCTATGATATCCTTAGCATTCTTCTGTGGAACCACATCTTGGTCGCCTCGAGTTTCTTCATCTTTGAGGAGACCGTCCAACATTCGCTGCTGTAAAGGAGAACAGATGTCACGTAACAGCTCAGTACAAGTGCGACACTGAAATCCGTAGATGTATTGGGATGGCCAAGGACTCATTGCAAAAGTTGGACAGAGCAATGCGAGACAGGAGGATCTCTTTGGTAACATAAGAGTATTGAGCTGTAACGTGATATGTCCTCCTTTACGGCAGCGAATGTTGAACGGTCTCTTGAAAGATGAAGAGACTCGAGGCGACGGAGATGAGGATCTCTTTGGTAACAAAGAAAAGCCTTGTTACCAAATAGATCCTCCTGTCTCGCAGTACTCTGTCCAACTTTTGGAATGCGTCCTTGGCCATCCCAATACGTCTACGGATCTCAGTGTCGCACTTGCCGTCCTCTGTCAAAACACTTCCCAGATATTTAAACCTCCGCACCTGCTTGATTTTAGGGTCCCCCCCCCCGGCTTGAAATTCACATTTCGGGCTCATCTTTTTACAGACAAAAAAATAATTACTTGACTGAAGTGTTTAAATGTAGCGGAAGATTTTGATCGAATAAATCGACTTCTAAAAACTAAACGATTTCGACATAGCTTCTTTTACATGGCGTTTCCACCAGGACATGTGTGTTCATGGTTCTTCACAACTATTCTTTGTAGCTCTAAGTAATGTTTATCCTCTTATACTTCCTTTTAGTCTATATTCGACCATCCATTTAAGAAAAAAATCTTTCAAATAGGTATGACGAGCTTTTTCCCTGGGGTCCCGCCTACATGAATTTAAGTGTGCCACTAGATTGGCATCTACGTCGCACCCGTTTACTGTTGAAATAGCTAAGTGCAACCGCCACTTTTACTTCAACTGTTTCTTTTTTCGTACTTCCCGCCCGTGGGACTCCATTCAGTTTACTTGCTTCCCTGATAACAATACATATTTATAGTACAATTATCAGCAATACATTTTTTATCTAAAAAAAAGTACCAACAATACATATAGTAAAATAACCATGAATACATTTTATCTGTAGTTGAAAGAATATAATTGTTAAAAAAATATATTTATTTGAAGCCATAAAATTACTTAAATAACCCATAGAGGTGTTGATCTGCCGCTAAACAAAACCGTCCAGCCATTTGTAAAATGTATCTTATTTTTTTTTTTTTTTTTTTTTTTAAATCATTTCGCCCCAAGCAAAGTGAGAATGTCACTAGAACACACGGGTTTAAAGTGAGTGAAAGAGAAGAGTGATATAGGGAGGATTGAGGAAAACACGAAAGATTGACAGGATTCAAGAAGACAGAAGATGGCGATTGGCATTGGATTTCTGTTTGAAGATTGTACTTATCGGAGAAGCAAGATAACAGAAGGGAGTTCAATAGGCGGGAAGTGCGAGGAAAGAATCTTTTGACGTAGTAGTGGCAGATGTATTTAGCTATTGCAACAGTAAAACTGTGGGACCTAGTTGCCAATCTAGTAGCACATTTAAATTCATGTGGTCGGGGCACGAAGGAAAAATGCTCATCAGAGCAATTGCCATGAAAATATTTGTAGAAAAGACAGAGGGAAGCCAAACCACGTCACGTTGGTGAGAAAGTGTCTGAAATCGAGATAAGACTGAATCAAGAATGCTTTTTACCTCATAAAAATGATTTGGTCAGAACTTGAAAGATGCTCACCAGTTACATTTTTTTTTGTACCGATAACAATTACGCTACCCAGCCACCATCTTTCTTATCATAATTAATGAAAGTTAAGAGAAAAAAAAAGTACATAAACACGATTGACATATAAAAAATTCAAATTGTTTTTTTTCCTTTGTGTAAAACCTGCAATATGAGGTGTAAAGTCTCAGTTATATTATTCTAACCCAGGGCGCCCTGAAACGGAATACTGGCCCCTACAGTAATTACTGTATTTCAAGGGATATAAGATTCACTTCTGTTTAAAAAAAAAAAAAAAAAAATTGTTCAAAATCTCACTCTGAAGTTTTGTTTGAAATTGAGCCAAAATAGTGGAATTTCGGCCATGTTTTTTAACACGTGATCTACCATTACGAAAAATTTTTTTTAGTCTCCGTATATACTCTGCTATCTCCACATCCACCTTTTATGCAGTCAGATACTGAATTTAATTTTTAAATGAAATTTAAACATTTTAATTTAGAAATTAAAATTCCATTTTCTGTTATTCATTTTTCTTAAATATGAAAAATATATATTGTTTTATTTATTTATTTATTTTTTTATTTTTTATTTGCGTCGTGATTTATTCGTTTTTTTACGGATTCGTTTTTTTTTAAAGCCCTGGAGTTCATTTATAGTTAATCAACAAAAAATGCAGCCTCCATAACAATCATATCTTATTTTACTTCGATGCCAAATATTGTTCGTGTTTTTTCGTTTTTGGGGTTTTTTTTTTAAACAAAATAAAGACTGAATGTAAAGCAAAGAAAAATTGAATCTCTGAAGCAGATATCGAAAATTGGATTATTCACCAATATGTTAGATTAATTGACAACTTATCTATGAAAGCAATTTCGCCTGTATCTATTTGCATTGGCTTGAACCGGATTAGTAAAGGTTAGATGAAATCTGCCAGTCGTATGAAGACAAAGAATCTTGTTGCAAATATGGCAAATCGAAAGAAAATGCTGATTCTTGTGCTTCAGCTTTTTTTTCTTCTCACAAAACCCGTTTACCGCAACATAAAAAGACTATATATTTAAGTGATTTCGCATTTTTTATTACATTTATAAAATATTTGTAAGTTTCCTTGCCGATATCAAATATTTATTTTAATATTAACTTCCTGTTCACGATTGAATAATTATTTCTAAAGTCGGGAAAAGGATAGATTTATAATGCAGTAATCTACCTCTGTGCCTATCTACCTCTGGTTTTATATACAAATCTGAACCAATAAACAAAATTTCTCCTGCCATTCCATCACTTTTTCGTCGGGACAGAAACTTTTAATGACGTCACGAATATTATGACTACAGTGATCCCTCGCTAATTCGCGCTTCTACTATCGCGGATTCACGACTTCGCGGGTTATTAAAAAATATATATATATATATATATATATATATATATATATATGGAAAATATATCGCGGAGTTTCTGGAAAATTCTAGAAAAATCGTGATATGTGAACACCTAAGATTTTTCATTAAATCCATTAAAATATCAATAATAAATATCATTTCCTAGTCTAGGAACAACAAAACAAGCGTAAAATAGAAAAAAAAAAAAACATATACAGGGTTATTTGAACTTGTAACTTACCTGACAAAAAAAAAAAAAACATCTAGAATACGATGTGCATATAGTACCCGCGTATCCTGTTGTTGAGATAAAGCAAAGCGTACAATCTTGTTGACGAAGTGCTTTGTAAGACGCGCTGTGATTGGTGCGAGAGAGAGACGACGAATCACAGCTTTCTATTTTGTAATCTGGCCTGTGATTGGTGCTTTGACCGATACTCAAATCCGCAGTATCTTCCCTTGTCTCTCTCCCGCTTCAAGCTTTCTCGCCGAGCGGTTTACTGTACTACTTTACGCTGTGCTGTATGTGATTTTTTTTCGTTGAACTTCGCGTTTTCATCCCCTGCAATGGCTCCCAAGAGTGCTGCTGCTTCCAAGGCTGGTACTGAGCCTAAATGCAAACGAAGAAGGATAACGATCGCTGAGAAGATGAAACTTCTGGATATATTGAAGGAAGGGATCATTTTCGCTGCCGTAGCCCGCCATTTTAGCGTGAACGAATCCACCGTTCGCTACATCAAGAAGGACGAGGCTAACATTAGGAAGACGGCTGCCATCACCTTTAATATGTCGGCGAAGAGATTGGTTACGGCCCGTAATAAAACTATCATCCGTATGGAAGCTACTTTAGCCGTATGGATAGCCGACTGCCGAAGGAAGAACATAGCCTTGAATACGAACATCCTCCAAACGAAGGCTAGGAGACTGTACGAGACTTTCGCCGCTAAAGAACCTGAAGACGACAGTAGCGACCACGAGGAAGAAGACGAAGACAACGTAGAAGATCCGCAATCAGGGACGTCCAGTGATTCACAACCTAAAATAAACGCCCTTTTTCTGCTAGCAAAGGGTGGTTTCAGACACGCTTCTGCCTAAAAAGCCTTTCCCTGCTTGGCGAGGCTGCTTCTGCTAACACGCGCTGCCGAAACATATGTGAATAAAAATTTCAAGAAGATTATCTCCGAAAGTGGATATAAGACCGAACAAGTTTTTAATATGGGCGAGACAGGCTTGTTTTGGAAAAGAATGCCGTAGCGAACTTTCCTGTAAAAAGAGGAAGCAAAAGCCTCTGGCTTTAAAGCATACAAGGATCGTCTGACCCTCGTGATGTTTTGCAATGCTGCAGGATTTTTTTTTGTTAAAGCCAGAGCTTATTTACAAGTCTAAAAACCCAAGGGCTTTAAAAAAACAAAACCAAGAATCTGCTACTCGTACATTGGAAGCACAATCCAAAGGCGTAGATAATGAAGATGCTGACCTTCGACTAGTTCCACTAACGTTTTATCCCGTTAGTCAAGGTGTATCTATTAGAAAATGGCTTGTCATTCAAAATCCTTCTCCTAATGGATAACCCTGGTGGCCACGCAACTGATCTGTTGCATGAGGACATTCAGATTGAGTTTCTGTCGCCCAAAACTATGTCACTTATTCAGCCAATGGATCCAGGGGGTTATTAGGGCGTTCAATGCCCTATACACAAAGAATGTCCTGGCGAACCTGCTTGCTTCTGTGGATGCCGCCCAAGAAGACGAAAATTTTAACTTGAAGGCATACCGGCGACAGTACACAATTGCTACGTGCCTCCAAATAACCCAGAAGAAATTGAAAGAAATCAAGAATGCCGCCATTAACGAGAGCTGGAAGAATTTGTGGCCCGAGGTTATTTACGACGACAAGGGATTTACACCTGCCGAAATCCAACACTCAGCACAGAAAGCTTTGCAGTTGGCTGCAATCATTGAAGGTAACAGCTTTGCAGACATGACAACGGGAGACATCGACGAGTTATTAGACTGCCACTACCAGCCGTTAATCGACGCAGACCTCGAAGACTTGAAGTCGGCCAGCAAAGAAGAAACACAGCAAGAAATGGAAGAAATTGTCGACTAAACTTGGCTTGACTTTGGGAATGGCTGGCCAAGCTCTGCAACCTGGCTAAAGAATTGAAAGAGGGGTCATAGGAATGGGACGACGACGATATGGTTCGTTCTGTGCAATTTTGCAACAAGGTCGACGAAGTCATGAATCCCTACAAGATGCTCTTTGAACGGAAAAAGAAGCAGCGGCAGCAACTTCCTATCTGTTGTATATGGCGAACGAATTTTTTTTTCTTTTTTTTTTTCCTTTTTTGTTTCCTCCGTATGAGTTTCGAATCCTGGTCGCCAAGGTTGTTAGAGAGTGAACGAAATATTTTTCTTCCTCTGTATGAGAACGAATCCCTCGTCGCCAATGTGTTGCAGAGTGGTTTCTCAGTAGAGGCTTGTATTTCACTAAGTTGGTCCTAAAAAGGTTCGACGTACAAAACGTTAGGAACTTGTTATAATAGTTAATGACGCAGCAATCTAGCTGTGGTGGTTGATACTTTAATGTCCGACATCGACTGACTCACCAACTCACTGCTACTACTACTACTACTTATTATATGTGGGAGAGTCTATTAACAATAGAATAGGTATGTTCCAATATAACACTATCACAATGTTTTTGTAGCCTCGCCCAGGAAAGATGTCCCAGGAAAGGGCATCGCCATCTGAAGAGACGTAAAATACATTCATCAGCTGCACAGCAGAAGTCATCATCAGCAGCTTCATCATCATTTCTACTGCGCAGCAAATTCATCATCATCATCATTCAAATTTTACTTCAACTTCCTTCGTGTTGAGTATAATAGCAATCTTTTTTTCTTTCTTTTTTAATCTAAAGTGTTATTGTTTAACAGTTGTCCTTGTTATTAATAGTACTGTAATCGGTGGTTTGTTAACAGTACAGGGAGGGTTTTAAAAGTCCAAATACACGTTAAATAAATACTGTAAATATGGCGTCCCTACGGAAATTCAGTCATCGCGGCTGGTCTCGGAACCAATCTAACGCAATAAACGAGGGATCACTGTAACTTTATTATCGTATGTTCTGAAATAGCCTTGTCAGATTTAGACTCGTATGAATATCATGCATAATGTTCAACTGATTCAGAAACATTTAAACTATCAGTTATATACAACCATTTTCTCCGATCTATGATTAAAAATGGATTCAAGCGAATGGCGCCTTCTAGTCTTGAAGAGGACTGTCCCTTGTCAGATCTTGACGACCGGAGCTACAGAATCACATTAGCAAATAACAAAAACCCACATCGTTTGAAGACTTTCAACAGTAGAACTAATTATAGGGAATAGCACATGTATCTCAAAAAGAAAGCAATGACATCATCAAGATGTTGACTTTCCACACTATTGTTGTGTTTGTAAAATTCGTCTGCTCCTAGAGATTGGTTACATGATGTTAGACCGTCTCTCATTGGTTAATAAAACCACGTGAGTTTAGAAAAAGTTGACCTCCACCAGAGAAGGGACCGGACCTGCTCCGAAGCAACACAATAATAAAAATGTTTGAAAGTATTCTCCGTAATCTAATTTTAGGAATGTTGACTTTAAATTTACTATAGTCATCGCTCTTATTTTCTGATAATGTCGTGTATGGTCAACCATACTTTCAAAAATGGGTACATTACATAGTATTTTATATCCATATAAAAATTATTTTACAAATCTCTGGGCATAATGATTTGTATTAAGCATTTCAATTTTTGATTAGTAAATATAATTTTCACTTAATGACAATATCATCTAACGGGATGAAAGTAATGCAGAATTTTAAAAGATTTATATATTATAAATTATTATGATAAAAAATTGAAAACACTTCTTGTAAAAATTCATTATTAATCGATAAATCTTATTTACCAAATAAGAAAAACCACATCATTTGAAGACTTTCAACAGCAGCAACAACTAAAATGGATAGCACATAGAACTTGAGAAAATAATGACAGAATAAAATTTTACTTTTCACGCTGTCGTAAACAAAAGCTTAAGAAGGACTGCCCTCCATCTATACTAGAAAAAACGGTTACAGTGGATTTGAAGAATCTGTTACAGTCAGAGAATGCCGAAGGTTTCTATGTCATGAAACTGCAAATCTAGCCATTACAATTTAAGGTTACATTTTGAATTTGACACTCGTGGGACCAATTAAAGGAAAGAGAAGCAGAAGGAAGCAACAAATAACTTGCTTAATAAATTTAAATAAATGGCTGGCAGAGCAAAGGTCTAGTAGAATAATGAGAGCAAACATTGCTTAGAGCTAAAACGGAAAGTTATGGAAAGTCAGGATCGCTCACGTCCAGAATGAATACGCTATATAGAAGTAAGTTATATTTAACAGTAATCCATTCAATCAGTCAGATTTGCCTCCCTTGATAGCAACTTCCTGTTTAGACGTGGCAAGCAGAGAGAAAAAAATTCTGCTTTTGAATTCATTAAATGTAAAAATATCAAAAGACAGCTAATACGACCCCCTCACCAAACATCTTGTGTCATGATATATTAATGTAACTTTATATATTAGGTTGTAAAGAAAGTCCTGTTGCATTTGAAATTGAAAAAAGAAACCAATGCTTCTTTGGTCTTAATGGTTATATTTAATCTAAACGTTTTCCCTCATTATTGATAACATAATCCCGTCTATTTGGCAGTTCGTTGATCTTTCGGGTGTAAAAACTCTTGAGATTTAGATGCGAAGAAACGCCCAATATCCGTTTTCATTTCGTCCCACTTAAACTGCTTTCCCTAAAATAGAAAAAAAAATGTTGCAATGATGGGAAAAGAAGCTAATTAGATCGAACAAGGTACAGAGTGTCAGGGGAATTAGGTAATATTTTTAATGTTTCGTGTCATATTTCCTTGAATGACTCTGGGGAAAATGCGACTTTTTTTTTAAATTATCGTGTGTCGGAGTTACCTCCTCCTTAGTTGCCTAATTGTTAATAGGGGTCTCTCTCTTCATACTATAAATACTGGGCGACCTCTTGCCTCGTTCTCTTTTTTTCCTTCAGACCTCGTGCCGCATCCCACCTCACGTGGAGGTGAGGTAAATCCTCTTTTTCGTTTCTTTTCAGCGAACACCGCTACAATGTGAGTTCTCGCAAAAGGCAGCGTTTCCCACTTCTGGGAAGACGCTATGAACATTACAAACATACACGTACGTACGAACATTCACCAAAGAACACACACAAATGTTCACACACATACGCACACACATTATCTGTCTGTGGGCTTTGTAATTTGTTGTTAATACAGATATTTGTTGACACACACACACACACATATATATATATATATATATATATATATATATATATATATATATATATATATATATATATATATATATATCTGTCTTGCTTGTTTGTCTTTATCTTCAGTTGGACTTAATTTAAGTCCGCCATTTTCTTGAGCTGGACCTTCTTCTAGCAGGAAATATAAACGCACGTGTTTTCTTTTCATCTTCGTCCCCTGGTCCTCTACACGTGTAAGACCAAAATACGATTAACCAATATGGTGGTGTAATGGATAATGGCGCGAAATTCTTAAATGGACAGTCGAATTCCAATTCTAGTCTGTTATATTCACTTACGCGCAAATACCCTTGGGAATGGTATGAATTTGTAGAGGACTGGGTGGGTTAATGTGAGTTTGTATTAGAAACACGTGTGTAACTCCTGGTAGAATATTAAAAGGTCCAACTACAAGAAATTGGCCGGACTTTTATTAAGAAGACAAACAAGACCGAGATATTAAAAATTATAACATAAATATGTTATAAAATCACTACAAAAATAGCCATTTTGTTTCAACAAAATGGCTATTATCTGGTGTCTTATTAAGTGATGATGTTGAATGTAGATTTTAGAATAAAGGTTTTAAAAGGTTCAAATTAATTAACCACACCTCGTAAGGGGAAACACTGTTACATGAGCTGAAATGACCAATCAAAAAACAAGTATACGAGAATTCAAAAAAACTTGACAACGAAGTAAGGTTATAATAACTATTAAACGCTTTAAAGTTAGGTTTTTACTAAAATAGAATTTATCCTAACTAATAAGTATTAAATTGTACGATAAAATTTGAAATTAAAATTAAAAACTACAAAAAATTTCAAAAGTGTAAATTTAATCTATATTAAGTTAAAATTATTGAGGAAAAAAAGAAAAAATACCTATGTTATTCTATTTATTTTGTTTCTATTGAAATTACGTTGTATATATATATATATATATATATATATATATAAGGAATTAAGGAGGAGGTAATTCCGACAAATCCACCTCTTCCGCCCCCCCCCCAACCAGCTGACTTGTATCACTAAACCATTATTATCTCCTGCCCCAAATTCTTACTTTCTAAAAATATTTTATGGCATTAAATAATCTACAACGGATGGATAAACCAAAGAAAACGAAGCCATCAATGAAGCTAATTCTCGTGTGGTTTACTTAGGATTATCTACAACCACTGTTTCAAGAAGATTAACATTAACAGAGCTTTGGTCACCTAGATCGAGAGGAATCTTCCAGAGAAAAATTTCCCTATCGAAACTAATCCAGTGTTTTCGCGAGAAACAGTGAATACACTAACGTAATTTTTGATTAATTTTCGTTTTATTTTATAATCGAAATTTTACTATACACGGATGGCGTATTGTTAAAAAAATGGTTATTGTAATAAAATATGAGATGTACCGTAATTCCCCATATATAACATGCCTTCATCCATAATACGCACACCTAAAATTGTGCTGAAAGGGTGGGAAAATGCTTCTCCTCGTGCATAATACGTACCCCTTTTTTAGTAATCAAACCCTATAAATTATACGACCTCTCCATTTTCATTACGGCCAGCGTTTCTTACTCTTATTTTAAAAAATAGTTTTAAACATAGAATAATATTATTCTAATTTAGTTTTATGATAATTCTTATTTTATTTTACGGCAATTTAAATTTTTTTTTGTATTTGTGCGTAATATGCACCCCTAATTTTGCTTATGTTTTTTAGAAAAAATGTGTACTATACATAGGGAATTACGGTATATTAATAAGGGTATATAATAGTCTTCATGCAGGTGTTCCAGATTATTTCAAGGGTTCCACAAGGTTAAAAAAACGCTAGACTAAATCATCTTTGGCATGTCTGGACACACATCCGTAGACACTACAGTAACGTGCAGATGTTTGGTAATACCCGAGACCAACTCCTTGATTGTATGCCCATAAGAATCTAGTAGGGGCCCTAGTAGTGATAAATGTGAGAAAGAAAGGCATTTTAAATATGTAAAAACAGTTGAAACATGAAATACACCTTATTTCAAAACCTAAATTTTTTTTTTCACTCTTTGATTAGACGCCTCCCGGGTATGGACCCTCGGGGCTGTCGAACCTCCTGCCCTGCACTTCTGCATACTACTGTCCATGAGTAGAACGAATATTTCTTGCCGCTTTCATTGTATAAAGACCCTTTTTGATTTCATACAGTTTGATATTTGTAAATAATATAAGTTGTTTGAGATATAATAATTTGAAAATGTTTGTCCTATTCCTAAAAAATTGAGCACTTCGACGTGGTTAGCCAGCTTGTCTCGCTAGACTTATGATTAAGTAGTATATTCGATCCTCACTCGAAGCTCCATACTTTCGGCCTTGTGCCGCATCTAACCTAGTAATCTCTTGTGGGGGACTAAAACCAGACGCAATAGCATTAAAAAATAAACAGGATCATATATGACGGAAGTGGATTACCCCCTTAGTCCTATAGCCACGTGGTATTAGTACAAAAAGCAGCGCGTTTTTTCTTTTTTTATAAAAGAAAACAAAAAGAAAAAAGATTTCTGTTCTCTGGACAGCTGCTGCCTCACATGTAATGTTTTGTGATTTACCGCTTATCAACCTTTTGCTGGTTATTTAAAACCAGAAAATATTTCTAAACTATATATATATATAGTTTATGCAAATTTAGGTAATCCGTATGGGTAGACCTGAGGGGGATGATATCCAGAGAGCTCAATGTAAAATTCAGAGCAGATATGTTTGAATAAAAGACAGACCACGTTAAGATTCCATGTAATAAGCTATTTCACCGTAACCCCTTTAACAGGGTTCTAGATCATCAGACTTTACTTCCAAAAGCTGTTTGGGAGTAAAGTCTGATGATCCAGAACCCCTGTTATTAGGGTTAAATGGAATCATAACATGGTCTGTCTTTTTAACGTGGTATATCTTATATATATATATATATATATATATATATATATATATATATATATATATATATATATATATATATATATATATATATATATATATATATATATATATATATAAAAAAAAATTTATTTATGATAATAATGATTTACTGATACCAATCTTGCTAAATAATACACAGTTGTGGGTATTAGGGGTGGATTCATACCTTTCCTAAGGGGGGTATTTGTGTGTACGAGAATATAAAAGAACTCGACAGGTATTCGAACTCGGCTCTCCAATTTCCAGTTCCGAGCTGTTATGCATTACACTACCGGCACATCCAAGCTTACAGCATCTGGTATTCGCAAGCATTCAACCATGTCAGTACTGACTAGGCTCACAGTTGCTTAACTTCTGTGATCTTTCGACAGCCAGTGCAAACATGTAAGTGTAATTTTACCACAACCATCAAGCACTCATACACGCACCCACATATTCTCTCCCACCTACTCTCTTTCTCTCTCCCACCTACTCTCTCTCTCTCGCCCACCTACTCTCTTTCTCTCGCCCACCTACTCTCTCTTACTCTCTCTCTCTCTCTCTCTCACACACACTTGATTACTGTTTCCAAAAAATTGTAATTTTTATGAGACTATATTTGTATTTTTAACAGAAAAATATTTGTATTTCTGCGTCATTTATAATTTAAATATTTGTTCGCCTCTTATTTCAGTGAGCTCGAAATAGCGCTCGCATAGAATAGTGTCTGGCATTAGCCTTATCTAAGTTGATTTCCGTTGTGCAGTGGCTGAACACCCTCACAAGATGGACTGGTCTAAGACAATTTAAACAGAACTCTCTCTCTCTCTCTCTCTCTCTCTTTTTTTTTTCTCTCTCTCTCTCTCTCTCTCTCTTTTTTCTCTCTCTCTCTTTTTCTCTCTCTCTTTTTCTCTCTCTCTCTTTTCTCTCTCTCTCTTTTTTCTCTCTCTCTCTTTTTTTTTCTCTCTCTCTCTCTCTCTCTCTCTTTTCTCTCTCTCTCTCTCTTTTTCTCTCTCTCTCTCTTTTTCTCTCTCTCTTTTTTTTCTCTCTTTTTTTTACTGAGAGAGAGGAGCTAACAATACGGTTTCGCCTCTCTTGTTGACCTTTCTGCCTCCGGGCAAAGAGGAACCCAGATTAGACTGTGCTGCAGGACAGCCACATGATTCCGTCCATGTGGGGCCTACAGGGAATTTTTGCCCGAGCGTACGCGCTCGGAAAGTCCCACGTTAAAAACCGGCCTTCTCCACATCCTGCCTAGAGGGGATGTCTCCGGTAAATACCAAGGACTTAACGGTTAAGTCTTTATTACATTTAGTCTGTGTCCTTAATCGCGTACCATATCATTTTCCGGAATAAACTACTACTACTTTTCTATATGTATGTCAACCTTTCCTATTTACGACACAAAACGGAAAATCAATCCCTAATTCGGTATTTCCACGATTTCCACGCGGGATATTATCTCCATCTTATTGTTATCACGACGTTTCGGCTGTTGTGCCTGCCAGCCTTCATCAGGTGTATATCGATCCGGGTAACCTGCAAGTTATTCCGAACTGAACCCTACATTTAATCTGTCGGGGTAGACTGTTCTCGTTCCACTGTCCAGGTTTAGGAATATCTTGTTTTATTAGTACTGCTTGGTTATTGCTCGGCCTGTTATTCTACGTGACACTGGCCTAGTGGATTAAAGCTATGTTTCTTGGATTTGGTGACATAGTCAGTACAAGTACTGTCACTGGATGGACCGAGTAGTTTGTCCTTTTGACTCGGTGGAAACAGTTATGCTGCTGCTTAGTTATTGGTCGCCTTCTTTCCTCTGAGTCCCAAAACACGCTGCTAATTTAAAGCTGGAAAAAAAATGTAATACAGTGTAACCCGATATAAGAGAGTTGTCGGGACCGGAGAAGAAGTCTCTTATATCCGGGTTTGGTCTATTTTATATACATTAACACAGGCTCTAATTTGGGACCAGAGAAAATCTCTCTTATATCCGGATTTCTCTTATATCCGGGTTTGGTCTATTTTATATACATTAACACAGGCTCTAATTTGGGACCAGAGAAAATCTCTTATATCCGGGTTTCTCTTATATCCGGGTTTGGTCTATTTTATATACATTAACACAGGCTCTAATTTGGGACCAGAGAAAATCTCTCTTATATCCGGATTTCTCTTATATCCGGGTTTGGTCTATTTTATATACATTAACACAGGCTCTAATTTGGGACCAGAGAAAATCTCTCTTATATCCGGGTTTCTCTTATATCCGGGTTTGGTCTATTTTATATACATTAACACAGGCTCTAATTTGGGACCAGAGAAAATCTCTCTTATATCCGGATTTCTCTTATACACTGTAAAATAATTCTCGGGAAGATGTTAAAAACCTATTCAGTTTCTTTCATACGTTATATTGATCATGGCGCTGACACTTCGCACCCTCCCCAAAGTAGAACAAAACCAGATAAATTTATAAAATGAGAAGAAACTTATTTTAAAAAAAATAACAACAGTTGGACTTTTGCAGTTATTAATAATTAAACTTATTTTACAAATACTAGCAATTGTTTTAAAAAAGTATCTGTCTATATTTCAGACATGAGGTATTATGTACACTATTTACACTATTCGGACTATTGTCCTCATCTTTGTTGTCATATTTATCACAACGTTTCGGCCGTTGTACCCTCCGGCCTTCTTCAGGTGGTTGGAATGTCGAACTGCACCCTTTATTTCGCTTGCTGGAGTAGACTGTTCTAGTTCCACGTGCCATGTCTAATGGATATCAGTCATCTCCTGTTAATTCACCTCTCCAAGTTCCCCCACTGCCTTAACCAGGTATTGAACTCACAACTCTTTGGGTCCTGTCATTGGATCACTTGTTTAAAAAAAAAATAAAAAAAACTTCTGTAAATGTGTTTCTGTTAAAAGTTTCTTAAAAAGAAAGTCAGAAAGATATTCTTTAAAATTAAAATCCACAAATTATGAAACAAATATTATGAAAAAAGAGAAATCTATTCGTATTTCTTTTTTTACAACCAAAAACGAACTGAAGACAAAAAACATCGAGTGGTTGACAATGACATGGGGGGGGGGGTGTAATAGCCTCTTGGTCATTACCCACTTTTGGTACCATATACCCGTTTTTGACCTCTTAGCTTATATTTATTAGAAAAAAAAACATGATCTAGACTTGTATCCCTATATTTTCTTGTGTTGCTGAAGCCATTTTTGACACTAACATCCTTTCGAAAGAAGTCGAAATGGTTTAAATGTAAAATTTAATCACTTTTTCGGGAATTTTAACTTCACTGCAGATCAGAATTCCTAGACCTAAATGCCTGCTTTTTAGTTAAAAAAATATTAAAAAAAAATTGTTTTAATCTTCCTCTTAAGTACAACTAGCATTAATAAAGTTCTATAATTGGAAGATACAGTTGAGGTTTCTAGGGTACATAATGAGGAAAGAGGGCTTGGAAAATCTGATACTCACAGGGCAGATGGTAGGCAAGAGGAACAGAGGAAAACAGCTCATCACATGGTTTGCTAGAGTAAAATGGATGGTGGAACAGGGTTTAGAGTAGATAACAGACAAAATTTATTAAGAGCTACAAAGGACAGGTAATTGTGGAGAGTCATGCACGCCTATGTCCTTGGGGGTCATGACACATAAAGAAGAACTGAGCTGAAAATTATTCGGGAGCTCAAAAAAAAATGAAAGTGCTGCGAGTACTCTGTGTTCCAATTCAACCGCTTATTAATATTCTTGAAGAGTTTCAATATGGATTATTCTTGCAACGGGTCTTCTGTTTGTGTTGGTTAATCAAAATCGAAATGATTTTGCAGTCTCCTTACTCGTTCCATCGTCGTCGCTTCTAACTGCACAGCTATTCCACATCACCCCACCCCACTCCGTTTATTTCAATTCAACTTGATATTCGGGACTTGAGAGTAAGAGTTTCGAAGTTCAAAGTTCATGAGTAATAATACTTGATATTCGGTTGAACATGTGCCCTAAAGTGTTCTCTTTTTAATGAAAATATGATAGTTATCCACTTAAGACGTTTGCAGAAATGTTTCTTCGAGTGTGAGGGGAGGGGGAGTTTGTTAAGCCTTTTGTTAAGATTCCCCTGGTGTCGAATAAGTTGTTTGATGTTTGGTAGAGACTCATAAAGGTGTTCTGAGTACTTTCGACCATTATTGGCCGTTTCAAAGGAAAAAATTGTTTTAAAAAAAACCCATTACAAATCTTTGGGGTCCTTTCAATCAAAAGACAGCAATTCGGTATCAGCGAAATTTATATTTAGGTGGGTATGCCTTTGAACTGTGGCGCCATTTTAGTCACGTGACTCTGAGCTTTTTCACAGTCACAACACCTAGATCTACATTCGTTTTAAACGTTTTGATCTTTAACAATGTAAACATTATTACACTCGCTCGAATTGTTTATCTTAATTTGAAAACGAGGATGGCTATTCGTACTCAGAAATAACAATTTCAGCAAGTTCCGTGACAAGTTTCCATTTGGAGATCAAACTACTGATTGTCATCATCAAAATATTTACATCATTATCTCTCCATTCGATTTAATAAAAATATTTAACCGAAGTGTTACTGCCTAAATATATATATATATATATATATATATATATATATATATATATATATTGATAATTTTATTAAAAATAGTTTACATTGCGACACGGAATTTTCGTTTTGAAACTTAAAGTTCTTATCTCGTCATCAGGTAATGTTGGGTAACGTTTTTCACCAAAGTTACAGAATATTGCCTGATGACGAGATAAAAACTTTAAGTTTCGAAACGTAGAAATTTCCATGTTGCAATGTAAAATATTTTTAATAAAAAATATCATTAAAAATATTATGCTCTACGTTGTATTGAACACTTTTAAAGAAAAAAAAAATGCCAGAGAGCTGTGAATTCTAAAATTGTTCTTTCTCTTCATTTGGAGATATAAAATTTCGAATCCGGGTTGAAGCAATCGGACGTCTGGCCACACTGAGAAGCTGTGATACAGCGAAACAGTGTATGGATGACACACGCACACACTAATATATATAATGTGTGCGTGTTTCCGGAAATCTGGGAAAGGTTTTTTTTTTTTTTTTTTTTTTTTTTTTTAAATAGCGGCTTCTACTGCTTTTAAGCATTACTCTTCAAATAAATTGAATTTAGTTCTCTGAGACGTTGGCGTATTTCGTATAGAGAAAAACGTTAAAATTCCCTTCCTTTCTGCCGTTCGATGATGGCCTAGAGGTAAGATATCTGATTGATGCCACACTGAAGAGCTGTGATGCAGCAAAACAGTCTGTCTGTGGATGGCGCATATATATATATATATATATATATAGACTCGTTGCGCCTTCTAAGACTAACGTTCTCAGTTGAAATGAAGTGGAAAGACCACAATGAATCCATTGCCAGGTCAGCTGTTAAGAAAATTGGTTCACTGTTTCGTGCTAGACATTTCCCTGCGGAATCTTTCTTGCATATCCGTGTCTACCATTCGTCCATGCTTAGAATATTGCTGCCATATATATTTACCTTTATCTCTTTGATAACATCCAAAGAAGAATCAGCTATATTATTGGTCCTGATATGGCGGCTCGGCTTCCGTCACTTTCCCACTGCCGGAAGTTTGCCTCTGTGAGCCTTTTCTATAAATACTTTAATTGTTCGGATGAGCTCTTCGCTATGGTACCTCAACTTTTTTTAAAAATTTAAGCGCAGTACTAGACTGGCGTTGAGATCTCTTCCATTTACAGTTGACCTAGCTAAATGTTGCCGTAAGTTCTATGCTAACAATTTCTTTTCTCGGCTTCTCACTTCCGGCTTCATGCGTTCTAGCCAACTTTAACCTGAAAAAATTTAAATGCAACGTCAATCGCTATCCACTGTCCCCCTGATTTCCGTTTTCTCTTTCCGCTCATTTATTAATGTTTCTGTTCCTAATTCTTCCACACACTGTAATTCCTTGTGTCTTAGTGGCTTTACTGCCTTGCATGGGGTGATACAGATTAAAAAATAGTATTAGCATATAATGAATTTGAGATTTTAA